AGTGACCGTATCATTCACCAACACATCGGTGTAAAACAAACTGTCAGCTTTTTCCAGCTTCGCAATGTCCTGGAACAAAATGATACTGCCACTTGACTCAACCTGACAATGGCCGCTGTAGATGACCATTGGATCGTCTTCACTGATGAGAGGCTGACTTTCAACACTCACATTGCCCCCTCCCCAATGTGAGTGATCTAGTTTCCCTGATCGTCACCAGTCTGAGCCAAAGCTCGGCCAGCAACATTGCGACACTCCCTACGCTGATGTCCTATTTCTAGGCAAGCGAGACATCTTTTCTCTCTCATACAGTGGGAGCGAGTCGAGTGAGATCTGTCTCCACAGACCCCACACGAAGGGGATCGATACCACTGTGATGTTCGGGGACGTGGCTCTGAAGCAGGCAGGGTCGTGCGCTCCAGCACCCTCTCTAGCATTTTCAGCACTCGCTCTAAAGTGCCCAATTCTGCGGATTCACTTGGTTTAGGGTTCTGAACTGTTGCATGCGGTGCAGAGGTTACGCACATAGTTTCGTTTCCTATTGCTACCTGAGTGTTGACAGGTTTTTCAGCAGCAACAGCCTGATTCACAGCCACTTTAAGCAGAGATGGAACTGGTCTCTGAGACTTGAAATCTCTCTCATGCTCATCTATAGCCTCTTGGACCTCCTCAGCTGACCACTTGCTTATGGGCTTACTCCTAAAAATGCTGGAAAGATCAGGATTGGGACAGTTTCTGATAAACATCATTGAAATCTCTGAGCTCATATTCTCCATCTTTCCTCCACATCTTTGCAAGTGAGCATCGGCTAACTCGGCTGCCTCATTCAACCTGACCCAATAATCAACAGGGTGCTCATTAGACTTTGGCTGTGTCGCATAAAAGTCAGCTAACGGCTGGCAAGAGCCAGGGCTTTCGCTAAAGTAACGCCGTAGTACCTCATAGACAGCCTCTGGGCAGAGTACTGCAGCCGGGCTACTTTTCAGCTTGACCTTAACAATGCTCTTTGCCCGGCCGCAGAGATGATTCAATATCTCTTCCACACTGTCGGCTTTGTCACAACCCTTTTTGGACAGATACACCCCCATTTGTTCAATCCATTCCAGGATGGTGAACTTATCGCTACCATCCCCTCTGAACATTTGCGGTTCTTTAATATCAGCTTTGATTACTAGATTTAATTTGGACAGATCAAGATTGGGGGATGGAGGCACTGTCCTAGAGGGTTGCTGCTCAGATGGAGAGGAACCAGGTAATGCTGAACTCTGGTTCGCGAGCAAACGTGTAGCAATGGAGTCACCTATCTGGCTTCCGAGCTCACCAATAAGGTCACGTAGCTGCTGTGTAACATTGTCACAACCAGTATTGGCAGGAGTGGAAGTCTCTGGTTTACACGGCTCGTTATTGGGAAGCGCAGTTGGAAGAGTCACTGAATCATAGGCCAACACACGTGGTTTACCGACTTTAGGTACACCTACCCCAAAGAATCCTCGACCCCTGCCAATATGTGGTGTTACCAGGTCTTCATTCCATCTCCCTTCAGCCATATTAGATATGGGGAATGACAACAATGAAAATCATAAATGAAAATTAACTTTTCAATTATCGTACGCTTTTCCAAGCGAAGAAGAAAACAAGGAAAATAAACACAACAGTCCAACGAGGGTGTGCGTGGTGTGTGAAGTGAGAGTTCAGTACTATCAATGTCCAGACACTACCATCAAAACGTCAACGATGAAGATTCTATGGTTGTCGATTTCAGAAGCGTTGTGATCCCGCGTTGTCGAACCCCAGCGATCAGCTGCAGCAGATCTGGTGCATCCGGGTCACGGCACCAAATTATGTAGCATGTCTGGAACGGACTCTTTAACCCAAATGACCACACGACCACACAGCGATGAGATCCAATGTTTTTCCTTTTTAATCTGTAAACAGAGAGATCATCAGTGGATCAACGGGGCTTCAGCTTCTCTCTCTCTCGTGTAACACTCAGTAACATTCATGGAGAGAAGCAACATTGCGTGCGCTCACGAGCCTCTCACTCAGGTAGACTGAGGCTATTACAGACCTTTTAAGAAAAATAAATAAATAAAACATGTAAATAAAATAATAAATGTTACGCATTCATAATCCTCCTTGTGACATATCACATTAGTACTCTTATTAATACACTACAATAATGTATAGTACATCAATTTTATACTAAATTACATGACCATAAGCATTAATTCAAGTATTTATATGCATTAATTCAGATATTTATATAAAATAACATGCTATGAAAAACAATCAATAAATTATAATATAATTTGTAAACATAAATCCAAAAGAAAAGCTCAATGCACATTTAGCAGCATACCATATGCAGGCCGCACCACGTGCGTCACGCACGAATCTGATTCGATTCCCCGATAACACTCTTAATACAGTACATATTTATTAACAGTCAACCAGATCTCTTTCCTTTCACAAAACAGAACTAATTAAACAACACACCTGTAAACAGAGAGATCATCAGTGGATCAACGGGGCTTCAGCTTCTCTCTCTCTCGTGTAACACTCTGTGCATAAGATACTAATCAGTTAGCACCATAATGAGTTGTATAAACTCGTACTACTACACACATTCATCACGAGTAACACACTCAAATGATTAAGCACACTCAAATCACAATTATTGAGCAATAATTATGCCTTCAGACAATAAACATCATCATACCAGTAACATTCATGGAGAGAAGCAACATTGCGTGCGCTCACGAGCCTCTCACTCAGGTAGACTGAGGCTATTACAGACCGCACGAGGAGAAACCCCGGAAGTGTTCCACCGATGACGCTCCCTCCCCAAACAAACACTCAGGGAAAAGTTCCGCTATTTTAACGTTATGTTCTCTTACTCATGAACAATAATGTGAACAAAATTTTGTGAGGTTCATTAAGCCATTCTAAATACAAAAATAGGAAAACTTAAACAGTAAAATACAGAAAAAAAATAATACAATAAAAAACAAGTCAAAGGTTAATTTTCACCAGTTACACTTACAATAATCACAGTTTTTTTCTGTGAAGAGTAGTTCACTTTTTAAAAAAAACTTTTGCTGATAATTTACTCACCCCCATGTCATCCAAGATATCCATGTCATTCTTTCTTCAGTCGAAAAGAAATTAAGGTTTTTGATGAAAACATTCCACACTTCAAGGTCCAAAAGACACTTTCAGTACAAACTGTTCAAAGGGCTTTAAACGATTTCAGACGATGAATAATGGTCTCATCAAGCAAAACGATTGCTCATTTAAAACATAAATAACAGTTTAAGTTTTAAATGCTCAAACGCTCGCCTTACTCTGTTCTGTGATGCGCGAATCAAAATGAACAAATCTTTTTTTCGTGTTATTGGTTTATTCAACGAACGAAATGAACAAGTTGACCCTGGAATATATATATATATATATGAATATATATATATATATATATATATATATATATATATATATATATATATATATATATAAATTTCTTTCCTTGTAACATTTTTTTTTAAATTGTTATGTATGTGTTTTGTGTGTGTATATGTTCGCTTTTTAACCAAAGACAATTTTCTATCACTGGTTCATAGATAATAACGTTTTTCTGGCGGCGATGGCAAGGTTCATGAGAGGCTGATTTATGACAGCGAATGTTTCATAACGTTCATGCGATCAAAAAGAAGATACGGCCCTTGGATGTGCGAGTATTAAACTGTTTGTGAGATGGGATGAGATAATGTAAGCTGATGTAGGCTACAGTACAATGACTTGCACAGATGTGTGTGCAACTGTGCATGTTGGAAGTGGGAATCGGTGAGAAAATGTCCGGTACCTGGTAACTCTACCAGTAATAACAATATTAATTTAGTTCATAGTTAACGGTTCCTGAACGCTAGCTGTAACTAAAAGCTGCTAAGACCTGTCTACGTGAGTGACTGTGGCGGATGTTGGTGAGCCTGGGTCAGGTCAGTTTGAGTTTTTATTTAATGGAATTTGTTTACAGTAAAGAATACACAACAACATTATTTTGGTTTAATAAACTTTATTTAAACTTTCGTTTGGAGTTAAGTGCGCACACTTTTTAACGTTTAGTTTAATCTTACCGTTCTTTTTGTTTGTTTGTTTGACACGTCTGAGTCCCGTGAGTTGGTGCACCATCAAAAGGGGTTCGAGTGGAAACATTGGACGTATTTATATGGTTTCCGATGATCGGGCCCAGAGACATATGAAAAGGACTTTGTCGGGCTACAACCATTCCGGTGTCTTCTCCGGGGGAACTCCATTCTCCATGGACTGTTTTGCTTCCTTTTCTTTTGTTTGTTTATAAGAAGTATATTTATTAAGTGAAGTCATTTGATAGTATTATTTGAATATGAATCAAAGTGACTTTTAGAGGATACATGACCTTTCCCTCAAGTTCACAATGAATCATTCTAGAAGAGTCCAAAAGCGTAAAGAACGACATATAGTCCCACTTCATTTGATACTCTATTGATGATATTCATACCACACCACATACCTTTGGGTCATTATACCCAAGTAACAGGAACTTTGTCTAAACGTTCCTCTAGTAACGTTAATGGAACGTTCGATAAGAGTTATCTGGACGTTAATAATATTCTCAAAATGTTAGCACAAAAATGTATTTTATTTATTCCTGAAACATTTCAGTTGGATGTTGATTTAACGTTTTTTTAATGTTACATTTTGTTTCAGAATATATATATATATATATATATATATATATATATATATGACATGTTTGCAAAATGATTAAATTGAATGTTCCCTTAACGTTCGCATAACGTTTTAAAACCAAATGTTTTGAACATCCAGAGAACATAATGTTTTCATAACTTAATGCCAACGTTAGCAATACGTTGTTAGAATAGTTTAGGTAGATATAGCGGGATCATCTGATCTTGCCACACGTGGATAAAAAAAAGAAAGGTTTGAGGAGGATTGTTTACAAATGTCATGCCGCACGTGACAGGGGCGTTACCTTTGTGGAGCTCGACCCCCTTGTTTTTTCCCCCTCCAATCATTTCTCATTCAGTACTTCCTGTGAAAGGTAAACAAATGGCGCTCCGCACTTCAAACCAGAAAATGATTCAAAATGTAAGCCGAAAACGGAAATTTAAGAGTTCAAAATGCCCAGACAGAAGAAAAAATATAATGTTCGCTTTCCACCCGTGAGTATTTCTGTATTTCCAAGTTTTTTATGCTTTGTGAATCCATAAACTCTGCTGCGCAGATGAGCGTCACTGAACATCTCGTCCTCCTGTTTTCCTCTTGGCCAGGGACGCATCAAGAAAATAATGCAAAAGGATACAGATGTTGGGCGAATCGCAACAGCTGTACCAGTCATCATATGTATCCTTTAAGCTCTAAATGTTGAATGCTGTTGCCAGTTTAATCGTTTAAAGCATGTATCCAAAAGAGTCGATTCCTCCACTCTGACTCTTCGATTCTTTTGTGCTAACCATTCCTTAGTTCATAGAACGTTGTGATTGGCTAAAAACAATGAAATAGCGTTCTAAGAACTAACCACAGTTTAATGGTTCCCAACATTTTAGTCCAAAATACCACTGTAGATCAAATCTACTAAATCATATCTAGTTTTATCATTTTTTTTTAATGGCAATGAACCTAAAATAGGGCTCATTCTGTTTATATAAAATATCAAATCTGTTTTTATTTATTTATTTTGTGGCCTAAATTAGGCTGCATTTTCTTCATGTAAAACACCCCCTCCCCTCACCTCACAATTCCTCCATATTTCGGTTATGGTCCATAACTGCACATTTAGCTAAAGCTTTAGAAATGTTCCTCAGATCTCTTCTCAGCATGACCTGTAAAATAACCCAATCCAGGAAGAGCAGAGTGATGTCCATCAATCACATGTGAGGTTCAAAATAGGCTTAAATAACCATTCCTATGTGTGTGTCCTCCTGTCCATCTGTTTCTGTTCTTTTATAACTTGGATAATCATTGTAGGAAACAGTGCATCCATTCAGAGAGGTTGTTTGACTTCCTGAAGGATTTGGCAGATCAAGCCAACACTGCGTCAACATCAGAGTGCAAAACTAAGGGCAAATGGCAGTCACACAGGTACAGTATCATTTATTAAAATGTTGTATGAAAGCAGGGCTGCCCAATCCTGTTCCTGGAGATCTACCTTCTTGCAAAGTTCAGCTTCAAACCTGATCCAACACAAAATTAAGATCTTCAACAGGGTTAGATCTGAGCTCTGCAGGATCTCCAGGAACAGGATTGGGCAAACCTGCCATTGTCCATACAAGCAATCGATGAGTAGGTACTTGTTTTGAATAAGTAATAACTTCACGACTGCTAAAAAATATGTTCTATATAGTGTGAATGTAATCTGGATTATCATGTGACCTACCAGCACCACTTCCATTCATAAATCCTCTCCCATGGCCTCATGGGATAGTAAAGTGTCCATCTTATGCACACTTCAGAATCTCACTGGAAGAATTAGGTCATCTGGGTATGGAGGCGTATTGCATTTACTTGAGGAAACAAAATCTACACGGTTTTTCTGAATTAAAAAGTTAATTATTTCAGAATTACGAGAGAATTTTTTTCATGGAAAAAAAGTTTTCACTTTGTTTTTATGAATTGATGAGTTTCAATTCAGAAAAAAAAACAGAGCAAAAAACTTTTTCCATGAAAAAATTATCTCGTAATTCTGAGATAATTAACTTTTTAGACATACTGTTTTTCACCTACTATATAGTATTGTGGATGTAATGAAATGATCTTCCTTTAGGAAACGGTGGCAAAGTGTGTCTATCAAAGCCAGGTCACCTGAGAGGGAGGAGCCACCCCAAAAATCCACCAATGATCTGGTCATCAACAGTGATTCATCCAGTGTAAGTGACATTTTACTGAAACAATGTTACGAATTTTGATGAGAGATGTTTGTATTTTGAATGGCAAAATCTTTCATGGTGTGTTTCTTTATCAGGAGTCTGAGCTGTTCATTTGCTTGGAAACTCATTCACCTTGACCGGGCTTCTGAAAAAGTGAGATTTATACTGATCATGAAGTTCATGTGTACAACTAACATTTTATCTATATCAATCCAGTATTTTAATTTCTCACTTTATTTTGAAGTTTCGCAAGACGCATCAACCTCTCACTGAAAACTGCAGTATTATTTTTGAAGACACAACAAGGTGTTAGTTATTCTTAGCATGTGACATATTTAATTTTTAATTTGTGAAATTGCTCTGTTGTGGTATTGTAATGACCATGAAATGAATTCTATATTTTTTGTTTTCATTTTTATTTCAAGTTTTCCAGGGAGTTTTAAATTCCAATAGGGAAGAAAATAATTTGTTTATTATATAATATAGTTTTTGTGATAGTGAGCAGCTCCACTATTTTTTTTTTTCAGTTGGATTCACAATTAAAACTGTAGTTTGACCTGTCTTATGTTTATAATCTAAGCTGTGACTTATGTGTTCCAATATTTATAGATCAAGGTAAAAATTTATTATTTATCATATTTAAATGCAAGTCACTGGTTTTGTTAAACATTAATTATCCACAGTAGGTTGTAGGGTTCTTTAAGTTGCATATTGTATGAAAAGGTCAATTGTATTATATAGTGAATATTCTATAAAGTATATTTTAATGTCAATATTGTATAAATATGCATTTCTACTCTTAACCTAACTACTGTGATGAATGACAAAAGAGACAATATGTAGTAAAAAAAAAAAAAGTTTAAAACCAAGATATTATTGCAAAATAATGGCTGAATAAAATATCTGAGGATGTTTCAAAGGTAATTTTATTTTAAGTAAATTATGTTCTTTGTATGGTCACAAATTGTGATGCAAAAAAATATACAATAAATTAAAAGTAAATTTCTTTTTCTGGATCATAATTTGGGGCAATACATCCAATTTTTCTTCCTTTACTGTGGGCCTTTGAATTGTTTTGCTTTCCTTTTCAAGCATTTCAAACATAACAGCAGCTGAAAGCCCTTTAAAGGCTGAAATACAGTACTTTCAGTGATACAAAGCAAACAGAAAAGCAGTCATCTAAAAATAACTAGTTGTGCATTTTACATGATTTTCTTTTTAATATAGTCTGTTTGACAAAAGAAACATCTTGTTGTCAATATGAATGAGTAAAAATCACATGTTCATAATACTATTAGATGAAATGACACAAAAAAACATGGTCATGTACATGAATAATTCCGTTTCAGTCAAAAAAAAAAAAAAAAAAAAGCATTAAGTGGTCCAATATATATATCTTTATTTTTCCTTATCCAAACCATCAAGAAGATCCAATTTATTTAATAACTGACAAAAGCCACCCAGTGCATAAAGGCACCAATTCAACCCTGTGACCTTTGACAGAACAGGACACAAGTGCCTTCAGAGAGTTACCATGCTAAAACAAGTATTTTATATTACACACATACACAGATATTTCATATGACCCAAGTCTCCCCTTTAGCACGACTTTGATCTTTTTCTTTACTTCCTGTAAACTTGAAAATCATCCAAATAAAGAATTGTGACAATGGAACAATGTGATACCCGCTGTTCAGTAGAGTCACACTTAGATCCTTCTCTTATTTGTAGGTGGAGCGAAATGAAAAATAAAAACAATAAAACGAAGAAAAGAGCCAAAAAGAGCGGCCGCTACATCCTGGCCTCAGCAGAGTCGTGCGCCGTAGCCAAATGTCTGTTTAATAGCGTGGCAGTAGTACCTCTGCCAGCCATCTCGTGTTCGTTCCTCTTCACTCTCAGGAACTGCCCGACACTCAATCTTTAGCTCCGTCTCATTACCCTTGTCTGTGAAAGTCAATGTCACCGTTGCATAGTGCTCTGAAATGAAAAGGACAGACAGTGAAGGTGAATAATGTGCAGACATTTCTCAAAGTCAACTGGCACACGGTAAATATGATCTTTATAATGTGACTTGCTTAAAAACAACTATAGAATTTCAGACCATTGCACACAGAGTCCGAAATTTCTGCACGTTAAAAAATAAATACGACCTCACGTTATGTCAATCACGCTTGCACACTGCCTCCAAAACTTTTGTCCATCATTAAAAAAAAAAATCTTTCTGCATTTTCTGCATCCATAGCAAGCAGTTTGAATGGTCTTTGTTTCGACAATTCAGAGCCACCGAATCACGAATACGAAAAAAACGCATATGAAAATTTTGGACTCAGTGTGCAAGGGCCTTTAGACCACAATATACATGGTAATAATTTCTTCTTCTGTCATATAGTGAAAAGTTTAGGGTCAGTAGAAGTCTATTCTGCTCAATTCTGCTTCTGCACAATTAAACAGAGATATTGTGAAATATTACAATTTAAAAATAGCGGCAAAGCTAAATTTTCATTATTCCAGTCTTCAGTGTCACATGTTCTTTCAGAAATCATTCTAATATGCTGATTTGGTGCTCAAGAAACATATTATAATCATCAATGTTGAAAATTAAACAAGATGCTCCATAAAGGATTCGGTCTATCTAAACTCCTCTTTCCAAAAGCCTCCTCAACTCTGATTGGTCAGATGGGCCAGTCTGTTGTGATTTGTCTACTCTGGTTGGTCAAATACCAAATGGCTGTTAGCATATCTGAATTTTAGCTCTATCTCATCATGTGATACTAACAGCAACAATGGCTTCGGTTTTACCGTATCAATCTCATCCTTTGGAATCCATCAAAACTTATTGACCCCAAACTTTTAAATGTAATGTATGTGACATTCTCACAAAATGTCAAGCGTTCAGTCTATTCTCTCCACACTAATAGCCCAGTTGCTGTATGGGAAAATCTCTTAGAAGCCGACGCTTACATTGCTACTGTAGCAACAAATGTAGACATACCAGATACTGAATACACAGTCTAAACATATGTATCTGATTTCATAACTTGCAAAATGCCAGTGTGGACAGTCTATTGTCTGCAGTGAGAACAAAGCTGGTTTAACTTACCACAAGGCCATGTATTGTACCTCCATTTCATGACTATCTTCTGCTCAGGTACCTGTTAAACGCACAGTACATGTTTTCAGAAATCAAATCAACCATCAGTGGAAGTACTTTTATCTGAGCTGTCATCATGCTTTCCAATTGGAAACTGAAATCTCACCAGTTCCTGGAACTCTCCGTTCACGTTTCCGTCCAACAGGCGAAACTTCCCACCTTTTTCAGCCTCAACCATGGCACCACTGCGTGTGAAAGCCTGAACCATCTGGAACACACAATTTGGCATTCTTCTCAAACAAATGTAATCACTAATGAGAAGAGCATACTCACTGCATTCAATTAAGAGCCCAGGGAGTCTCACTACTGTGGAGATGCAACTAATGGCCTGTCAGCTGACTCACCTCCTGATTGAGAAACACCCTGTAAAGCTCTTCTGGCGAGGTGAGGAAAGTGTCCTTTAACGAGAACTTGCAGGTGGGGATTTTTACCCCTGTGTTGGAAGGAGGAGGAGCAGTGCTAGATGAGCCAATCTAAAAATACAATTACACACAAACGATGAGTTTGAGCAAATGGATCTTATTAATAGAATAGTCACGTGTTAGTGTGGGGCTATTTTGAGCCTTGTTAGTGCTATTAACAAGCGATTTCTTTTTACTTAGTATATGCCCCCATATACTAGCGTTATACACTAAACAGCTTTAAGAGATACAACTCTTTACATTCGATTATCATGAAAACAAATCTCAGAGAACTGTTGACTGGGTACCAATGTGTTATTAGACCAAAGATTCGTTTTGCGCCGGAGCCTTTAAAAGTCTGCATAATCCTCCTTATTGACTAGTGCTGGCTGACATCCACAATAAATCATAATGATTTCAGACATCAGACTGAGACACTTTAAGGCTCACCTGAGTTTTGCTTGTCTTAGTTGTTGCCTGGGCTGTTTGTTTCGTCACACCATTGGCTGTTGGCAGGATCATGCCCTGTGTGAACTCTACAACAGATAATAACACATTATAGCAATCCACATCCAACAGAGCCACAGGAATGCCATCAGTTTTGAGTGAGACGTACCTGTTTTGAGGAAGCCCACATAGCCGGCCAGCGCCGTGCGAATTTTATCGGCTCCCTCCCTCCTCATCAGAGAAAGCAGCGCCGTCTGAGGCTCATCTTTACAAAGACTCACACTGACCTGTGTGTGATCACGAAAAAAATACTCATTTTCATCACTTACACAATACATATACCCCCTTTAAATAAATTGACCCTGTTTACAATACACACTGCTATTGTAGTCTTCTGTAAAACCTGTGAATGAGTTAACTTACATCAAGGTCGTCCATGTCATTTTCATCTGAAAGGTTTGGAACTTCAATGTTTCCCTTGTATTTGATGCCTGATTTTGATGTCCCTGTACAAACAGACAGCCCAAATCATGTGCATGAATATTAAAGCCAAGTAAACTCAATAACTTCTTCAATTAGATATTTACTTAGAACTTATCTAGGTCATATTCATCTTTAAGGCCTATTCACACCAAGAGCAAATAAAATGCATTCCATCCTATAGATCTATTTACAACAGGGATGAACATCAGGCAAAAAACGTTGGGATTTTGCTTAAATATAAAGTGTGTTACAAATAAAATGTAATATTATTATATAGCAAATGAACTATCTATGTGGATTTTTCTTTCTTTGCCCAGTGAAACTAACTGTAAATAAGATATCCATTTTCAGTTTCAGGTTGTGTGTTATCGGTATTCCCTTTAGCCAGCTGTACAGAGCAGACACTCCACTTAAATGCATTTTAAAGCAGAAAAATATATACAGTATATATGTTTGTTTTTGTTTTTTTGGAATATTATAATTCAACACCTTGAATTTTATATTTAAGTGCTTTTCCATGTTGTTCTTGGTGGGAGCAGACGCAAGTTAGCAATGGGCTATATGCACGCATAAGTTCCGCATTTGACGCAAGGATGCTCGTCTATTTCCGGTTGTGTAGATTAAAGCGGAGGAAAACCGGAGAAAACGGGATTATGGCAGACTCTTCAATATTTACTGTCCTCCCGTCTTTGAAACGAAATGTACATACGTTTAGATGTAATTTTATATACAGTTATGTTTATTTGATATCATTTTAAAAAGAAGCAAAAACACAACGAGGGGTGTCTGTTTTATCTGTTTTTGTGACTAACGTTTCATTAGTATAACCATGGAGTATAAAATTCAATATAAATTCTTGCTATTGCATTGGACTCTATGATCGGCGGAAGTTATCGAGCATCCCTAATGCTTCACCGGAAATACCGCCGTGCATAGAGCCCATAGCTGATACACAGTTATTCCAATCATAATTCCTCACCTGTCCAGGTGGCCTTCAGATTCCACTCGTAGAAGAATATCAGCTTCCCTTTGCGATTATTGATGGATGCTTCTCCCTCCACCTTGCTGACCTCTGTGATCTCACACTTGCCTTCTTCATTCTCCACCCACAATCCCATGAGCAGCTCCTTCAGCTTCTCCGATGACCAGTTTGTGGCGTCCCTCTCCGTCCTAGTAACACAAAGCACATCCCCTGATATTACTCCCCCTCTTTTTGCAGGATGCTGAGGATTTTTCTACTGGTCAGTCAGTGGTTCAGATTTTTACTTGCCCTGCCAAAATTTTCTCTGGTCCCACTAAAGAAAAAAAAAAAAAAAAAAAAGAATTTTCTATGACTTAATCAGTTGTATGTGATTACTGCACACAGACTTATATGATAAAAAAATAGTATATCTTTTTATCATATCTATACAGCTCATTGATGTGATGTGGGTTTCCATGTCAGGTCTCATACATTAGAAATAATAGATTCATCTATTAGGCTATAATTATTAGTGTACAAAAGTCTCCACTAAGACATAATTATGTCCTGAGATTTGAATCCATTTAATGAGGAAACTTGATGTGTTCCAGGCCAAACGTGAAAGTAACGTTTTCAGGCCTTTACAAAAAAGTTAAAAATTTTTAATCACTATAATAATATGTATTGATGATATTTCCAGGTTGACTGTGGAACCCTGAGAAAAGCTTTTGACAAAACCTAGCTTTGATGTGACTGTCATGTTGAATAGATCATGGAAACTATGACCTATAGGGTTCGCTGTCAAAAGTAAAAAGCCATTTAAACTTGTGGATGGAGATGCTGACAAACACCAAGAAATGGTTTTAATGCTTCAGCTTACAATACACATTCATAAGCCGTGTAAACCAAATTAACCACCCACTTCA